TCAATGGGCGCCCTGAGGAGCCGGATACATGTAAACACAGCATGGCTGGGAGGTGCCAGGTGACTGTTGCTTAAGGGTGCTGCTAGGAACAGAGCAGGGAGCCAGGCCAGAGAGATACTTGAAGATGGATATCAGAGAAGGAGAACATGGCTTCTCCATGGCGCCCACCAATACAGACTCAGGATTAAGCTGATCTTTCCTGAGTCCTGAGGAATCTCCGATGCTGGACTTTGCTCTGAGAAGTTGCCTCGCTCCCTAGGAAGAAAAAGCCTCTCCCAGGCGTCTGATCTCAGTCTGACTCACTGTTTACAGCCATGGTGAGAAACGGGGTGCTGGAGCCCGAAAGCCAGGCTAAGAGTCGATGAGGCTGCATGGCCCTGCCCTTGTGGAACACATGGGCCCTGCCCATGGGCTCCGGCAGACTGAGGGGGTTACACCCAGGAGAATGTTTAAAAGTCAAAGCATAGCAAGGCTGGGACACCCCCATGCCAGGGGCTCTGTGTGCCCACCCTTCCCCCATGCTAGGTTCACCAGGTCTCCCCACCCCCTGGGTTCTGTGTGTCCCCCATTCTCCCCTCACCTCATTCTCCTCCCCATGGCAAGGGTTGTGTGTCCCCATCCCCCTACCAGCGCCCCTATTTCCCTCCAGCAGGGGTTCTATGTACCCCCATTCCTCCTCTCCCTATACCAGGTTCCTCCATTATTTCCCCCATGGCAGGGGCTGTGTGTGGCCCCATTCCCTTTCCCACCCCATTCCCGGGTCCCCCAATCTCCCCCCCAAGAGAGGTTCTGTGTGCCCCATTCCCACCTCTCCCCCATGCCAGCAGCTCTGTGTGGTCTCCCTTCCCCTATATCAGGCTTCCCATTCTACCCCAATATCAGGGGCTCTGTGTGCGTCCCCATGTCTCCTGTTACCCCCTCCCCCACCAAAGCAGGGTCCTCCAATCTCTCTTCTAGCAGGGGTTCTTCTGTGTCCCCTCCCCATGATGGGTTTATGTCCTGGCCTTTAAACAGTCTCCTGGGAGTATCCCATTAGTGCCAGGGATGACAGAGTCTTCCTAAAAGTGAGGGGGAACGAGGCCCCACCCCTTCTGTGCCCCCCCCGGCCCTCCTTGGCATGGCCAAGCTAAAAGCTGGAGCCAGGCCGGGAAGCCTGGGGCCCTCCATCTGCCTAGGTTGGGGGGCGGGGGGGACTGAAAGCAGCTCCTTGCCCGTGTCCCCATCACCTGGGCACCCCACCCCAGGCAGGTGGAGGGGCCACAGCTGCCTGCGCGGCCCTTACCCCAAACTGGTTCCTGCTTCCAGCCTGGCTGGGGGCGGGGCCTCAGGGCCGCCCAGAGGATTCAGGGGGCCTGGGGCAAAGCAATTTCGGGGGCCCCTTCCAAAAAAAAAAAGTAGCAATACTATAGAATACTATATTCTCATGGGGACCCCTGCGGGGCCCGGGGCAAATTGCCCCACTTGCCCCCCCCCCGGGCGGTCCTGCGTGGCCTCAGGGGGAAGAGGAGGGGCAGGGGGCCAGGCCTGTGGGGAAAAGTGGGGCACCCCTGGTTAGTGCACCAGATCCCCCGAGGGCTCACACTTGGCCTCCATGACTCCTAGACTGGCCTTTATGCTCCAAAACCCCTGTTCACTATAGCTCTAAACAAGTCCAGCCAAAGCCCCTTTGTTACAATTAACGGCTCGATCCAGCAAACACTTACTACTACGTATGGGGTTTTCTACTCTGAGTAGCACCACTGACTTCAGACACTACCCTTGAAATGAAAGCTAACTTTGCTGGGGCTTGGCAGAAGCTGCAGGAGAGATGCTGGCAGGATCTAGTGGTGGGCTCAAAGGTGTGAGGGAAAGCGGAGGAGTTGGGTGTCATTTGTGTGTAGAGCCTGAACTTCCTGTGGTTGCTCATGAGGTGGACAGTGCTGCTGCTGGAGGTGAGCCCTGAGCTACAGAACCTGAGGGTCAGTTGGTAGCTAGCTCTTTTCCCACCTCTGAATACCTGCTGAAAATAATTAAACGTGGGATGAGCCTGGCCAATGGAGGATGAAGAGGGGTACATGGTATTAAACCGTCGTCCAAAGATGACAAGATCAGACCGGCCGTGTCAATCTGTGACCCAAGGTACGTGACTTACTGTCTCCCTGCGGTGTCCATTACTGACTGTGCCTTTACATGTTACCTGGCAGGGAGGGGACAAGGGAAAACATCTCGTGTGTGTGGAAATTCTGGATGTGCCATTGTGATACTCTAGTGACGGCGCAGATAACTGCAGAGGGCGGTGGATAGAGATGATGTAGTGAGTGTGGGAGTATGTGGGGGAGGAGAGACCTTGTACAGAAAGGGTGGGCTCTGCCTTAACTAGAGCGGGACCAGACTCTTGGCACATGTAATAAATAGGATTTGGGGTGAGTATTTAAGGTAGGAGCTGGGGAAAAGCAAACAGGTGCTGAGGAGCCTGCTAATGTCAGACATGTTAGTAATACCAAGATGCAGGATCCAGTAAAGAAGACATAAATGACTGGATGGCTGATCAGGAGGATGGACAGGGCAAGATCACAAAAGTAAATTCTGCAAAAGGGCATCAAGGGAGTTAAATAAAAACAGGCAGATGGTCAAAAATAAAACCTGTACGTGTGTATTTACCAATGCGAGAAGTGTGAAAGCAACAAGCAGGTGAATTGGAACAGATGCTGATAGAAGATCTGACATAGTAGGTGGTAGAATTCCCCAAATCAATGCGATACTGTAGCACCTGACTGTGAACTGTACACAGGGCCGGCTCTAGGCACCAGCAAACCAAGCACGCGTTTGGGGCGGCACAACTCCAGAGGTGGCATTCCTGGGGCAGCATTTTTACTCTCGAAGGGTTGTTTTTTTTTTGCTTCGGCAGTTCGCTCCTGGAGGTTTTTTTGTTTTTGTTTTTTGCTTGGGATGGCAAAAAAACCAGAGCTGGCCCTGACTGTACAGGAAGGACAGATTAGATTTGGGAGTCGCATTGTGCCTGTATAATCTGCCTGCCTACAAATCCCAAGTGCTCAGAATACAGATACACTAATACGCACACAACCGGACCAGTTGACGAGGTCCCTCACAAGAAGTCAGTGAGGAAAATAAGAACTTGTCTACATGGGTAAACTGACCAGGACAGTGATTTTAAAAGTGATTTTAATCCAGAATAATAACTCCTCTTTGAAAGTGCACTAATTATTCTGGGATAAAGAGATTTTTAATCAGAATAGAGTGTCCACCTGGAGAGCTATTTGGGAATAACCATCCAGTCATTTTCCCTGTGTAGACAAGCCCTAAGTATTCGTGGGGTGAATGGTAAAGTACTAGCCTGGAACAGAAACTGGCTAAGAGACAGGAAACAAGTAGTAGGATTTAATGGCCAGTTTCATCACGACAAAAGGTTAGCAGTGAGCTGCCACAAGGTTCTGCACTACACCTGGCGTTTAATATATTCATGATCTGGAAAGGAGGCTGCAAAGCTGGGGGATGTCAAGAGATTAGATAGGTCTGTCAGGATCGGAGAAAACTGTGAGGGACATCAGAGAAACCACCATGCTGGGTGAAAGAGCAACAGGCTGGAAGATGAAATTCTGATATTGACAAAAGCAAAGAAATACACGGCGGAAACACTGATCTGAGCATCTCCTGCACCTCTCTGAGTTCTAGATTTACTGTATCAGCTCAGAAGAAAGATCTGTGCTCAAACTATACACCTGAGCTGCTTCTCCTCTCCCCTGTGAGTTCTGTAATATACAGGACTTCAGAGCCTTGCCCTTGTCTCCCATCTATAATTAGGTCCCCTGGGTTCAATTCTCCTACAGAAGCATCTCCCCCGATCTATAAAGTCAGACATAACAATGTGTTTCATTGTCACCTTCTGGAATTAAACTTTAAAAAGGTCTCAGGAGTGGAAGCCACTGTCCCTAGGGCCAGGAGACTGCAGGCTGGGGTAGCTGAGGCATAAGGGCCCAATCCTGCATTTCTTGTGATGGGAGCTCTGGGCACTCAGCAAGAACAGGAGTGGGCTCCAAGCTTGTTTAAAGCCGCCAGGCCAGACAAGGCTTGGAACTAGTGGGGGTGGCAGAATCTTAGAGTACATCTAAGGTGTGATTTCAGCGTGGGCTGACATATCCGCAGTAGCTCTAATCGAGCTAGTGCGTTAAAAATAGCAGCATAGCTGGGGCAGTGCAAACGGCAGGTCGGGCTGGCCGCCCAAGTACGATCCCATCTGAGATGCTGGGTACAGGCTCCGGCAGCTAGCCCCTCCCACCATTGGCTCCACTGTTATATTTTGTGTGCTAACTCAAGCAGTGCTAGCATGGGTACGTCTACATGAGCTGGAATTACTCCGTCCAGCTCCAGTGTAGACGTATCCTTAGACCTTGAACAGGGTTTAACGGTGTGATGTCAGATCACGTCAGCTGGCTCAGTCCAACTAACACCTTCTAAAACTCGAGTCCAGACAAGGCAAGGCATAGGGCAGCACATGCTCTATAAATGAATCAACTGAAAGGTGGGCAGGAGCCTGAGATTTAATCTGACCAGTGTAGAGTGTACGTGTTTATGCTGGACTTCCAGCGTGTGTTAGCTAGCGCCTGGTGCCGCCCCTTTGTATCCCAGACAAGGCCTGGGGGGACTGAAGCACAGACTTGCCATGCAGCCACATGGTCACTGTTAGAATATACACCGTAAGTCGGACATAACCACATTGTTAACTGGTGACGTTGCTAACAGGAGGTCGGTGTTCGCATGCTCATCAGCTTCCAGTATTTCATCTGGTTAGTCACAGGGCTGGCCTAAGAGTGATTTGGTCCTTGACTGACAGGTTTAAAATTATCCTGCTATTATGTGAGGGGGAACATAACCCCCATCAGAGGCTGCTGCACAGGCTCCATTGGAAAGCAGCTGGTCGTGATTATTTCTTGCACTATGTGCAGATGTTTCACCAAACACTGACTCTTCCAGGTCACCCTCAGTGTCCCCGCTGGCATCGGATGGCTCTGGGGGTCGTCTGGGCTGGGAACATCGTCCTGCTGGGAGCTGTGGTAGCAATGGGCGTGTGGGGTGAGTAACTCAAGGCTAGTTATTCACTTGAGTGTAGCGCTGCACCGCGAGATTTCCTCTTCCCCCACGTTTCCACGGAGACTCTTTCTTGTTCCTAGAATCCTGGAAATGTAGGGCTGGCAGGGACCTCACGGGGTCGTCCAGTCCAGCCCCCCGCACTGAGTCAGGGTTATCGATTCTAACACATTTGTGAATAAAATCATGGACGCTTCATCATTCCAAAGCAGAGCAAAATATTACATGAACAATGTGTAGCTAAGAGCTTGATACATGAACCCCTGTGATCCAGCTATGGCAACTCCACTGTTAAGTGTGCAGGGAAAAGGGAAGGCATCTTACAATGTGCAACAAATGAGATTTTCTGTCTTGTTCTTTCTCTTTCCCTACTCTAAATTTGTCGTAGCATGTGCACGTGTTTGTTTTGCACATACACACTCTCAGTCTCAGGTTGCGAACCCGGAATAGTTAACTGTGGTTCACAATCATGCTCTTTCCTTCCTATCAAAAGGAAATTTTAAGGGCCTGGGGAATGACGGTGCCAATGAGAGAACCAGCTACGGCTATAACTGCAGCACTGAGCTGAAGGATTTTCCGTTCTGCTTCAAACAGTTTCTATGTGAACCTTCATCCAGCAACTCAAGAGGTAATTTCTGCTCCTTTGCTCTCTCAGCTGCTTCCCCGTATTTCAGTGACACCTAGTGGTCACTTAGGGTAACTCTCAGTGTGTACAGTACAAAATGCACTAAGGATCCTTCTTGTGTAGATCCTTACGTCCCAAAGGGCTTTACAAACTACTTATAGCGTGAAGCTGGTAGGGAACCTAAATACAGACATCACTTACACTTTCCACTGGAAAAATTTCTTCTGACTTTTTAAAGACGCTCTTGCACCTTATAGTTCGCAGGAGACCTTTGAAAATTCAGCACAGGGAGAGTCCTCAGGCTGGAGAAGTGCCTTTTCTTTGTTTCAAGAAATTTCACTTAGGCTCTGCTGAGATGTGAACTTTGGAAATGGTGGTGGTTCCCTTCTTGCTTGTGAGCCTCAGGAAAGCTTGGTCACATGCTAAAATAATAACAGCAGGAGCCTTCTAAAGTGCTGGGCTCACCCTGTGTCTGGACATGCACTGCATCGGGAGCTGGCACAGCAGCTGTAGCTGGGATGGTGAGAGCTGGGCCAGGCTCCCCACAGCCCAGCAGCTGACCATGTAGCTTTTGCCCCATAAGCTTCCCCCAGAGACAGGGCGAGAGCTGAGATGGGCGTCTTCTGACAGCTTCTGAACCGAACAGCCCCTTCCCCCACATCACAGCCTTTTCCTACCACCAGCTAACGCAGTGTGCCTGTGGCTGAAGGGATCGAGTCTATGCTGACGGTTCAGGGTGCAAACCCTGCTGATGATTCATGCTGGGCATGTTGCTCCAGTTGCACATCATAGAATTATTGTTCTTTTATTTTTAAACTAGAAAATTCCAAAACATTATTTGAATGGAGGGAAAGTCAAGCACTCAGAAGTCGGGAAATGACAGATTTATGGTGAATGGATAATTCTGCCCCTTTGTGCTTATGCATTAATAGACAATCTTTAATTACGTGATCATATACTATTGTTTTCTCAACAGGGCCTTGCCTCATTCAGTGCACAAGGTGGACCCACATGGGGGCAGAATTAAGGTTGCACGGGCCACCATAAAACAGACATTTCCTAACTGTGTGCACACTGCCCAATAGCTAAGGAGAGAAAGTGAAGGAGAATCCCAACTGAGCATGACCTGCATTAGCCACTACAATTCCAGGACTGGAGTGCGCACATCCTCACCCATACCCCTCACTCCTGGCTGCAGCGCCTCCTGCTGACTGAATATTGGACCTGTCCCCAAACAAAAATAAGGGTATTAGTTCTAGCTGCACGAAGGCTCTGTGATTGACTGGGATGAAGTTCAGCACTCGTCAAAAATTCAGCTCCATTAACTGTTTCCATTTTCCCCTCCAGAGGGATCAGGGTGTAAGCTCTGCCCCCCAAACTGGCTGCTGCACACGGACAAGTGCTACTGGGTGTCTAAAGAAAAAGCTCCCTGGGACAAGAGCCGCGATGACTGTTCGAAGAGGAGGGCTCGACTGTTAATGATTCGGGATCAGGATGAGATGGTAAATAAAACTTCTGGGGAGATGAGCAGCATTAGCAATAATTAATACACAAAACCGCTGTTGTGTGTCAGTTAAGGTTGCTCTATACACAAGGTACCTACACAAGCTAAAAAGCAAAGGACTTAATTTTTCAAGTACATAACCTATGCTCTACAACCTGGCAGTGGACACTTCACTAGTAGCACAACATAGACCACAAAGAACGTACCACAACCTTAACTCTGCCCCAGCAGGGACAGAGGCTAAGTGACTGGACCAAGGTCACACAGGAGTCTGTGCTGGAAAGGGGAATAAAATCCAGCTGTCCTGAGTCTCTGGCTAGCACCTGAACCACTATAACCTCCTTTCTCCCTGTCAGTTTATTGTTCCATGTCATTTACAGGCCTTCATACAAACTACTTCCAAAGATGCAAACCGGATCTGGCTTGGACTCACCATTACATTCCCTGCAAGGAAAAGGATTTGGGTGGACGGCTCCCTGTTAAATCAAACACTGTGAGTGTTGTTCTCCTTGGAGTCCATGTAAGCTGCCCAGCATGGGGTTGTTGGCTTTCCAACATTGCTGTGAGTAGAGGCTATGTGTGGGTGCAAGGGATGTTCAGTGCTAGGCACAGTCCTCTGCACAGAGCGGTGATCAGTCCTAAACCTCAATAGATGATTTACATCAACAGTGCGGCTAATCCTGAGGGTTGGGTTTTGTAATGTGAACAAGTCGTGTCCACTTCTGGAAAACACCAGCCAGCTACAGGATCATGTGCTAGGAAGTCTTATCAACCAGGGCTCTGTAGGAACAATTCAGCTGTTAAGGAAGAAATTCGTGAGAGGTGTCAGAATGAGGAAAAGCTGCTATAAATCTTGGTTAAAAACTCTAAACAGTGATTTTGTTTCCCAGGTTCAAGGTAGTGGATCCTGCAGAAGGGAACAGCTGCGGGGTGATAAAAGCGGATCAGATTCATTTTGAAACCTGCAGTGCTGTATCGAAATGGATTTGTGAAAAAGACGCTCTCCTGATATAGACAGTGACATTAGTGCTCTGCACTTGTGTGTGTGAAGGACAAATCCTCTGTAGTGTCAGTCTGTCACGTGAATGATGAATAATGTAGGTGAGCTTCAAAGGGAAAAATTGGACTTATGCCCTTTCCCACTCCCTGCTTTTATAAGGTGGATAGAAATGGCCCAGAAGCCTTTTCTTGCATTTGATATTCAGGTCCTGTGTGGGCTGGAAGATTATAGTGAAGGGAGAACTAGCGAAAAGACATCACAAGTAGAGGTGGGGGACAATTTTCCACTATTTCATTTATTTGTGCCCCCCCCCCTTAAAAAATGCACTTTGGGGCCGAACAAGACTATTCACAAACTGGTGTTGAATTCACTGAATAGTTTCAGCTAAAATAAAAACAAATAAATAAAATTCACGCTAGTTTCACAAGAGGACTGGAGGAGGAGACAGCAGCTAACCCCACGCAATAGCCAAGTGGTTAATTCACCAGGTTTGAATCCCTGCTCTGGAACAGTGACTGGACTATAAAAGTGAGAGGCAAAACACCCCATGTTCCCTCTCCCTACCCAGCGCTCTCTTTTCACCTAAGATGACAAAAGAAAAAGCTGTTGGACTTTGGGAGCAGATGCTGGCTTGAGAGTTTGGTCAGCAACGTTACTGTGAACCAGTGGTAAGGGACGTCACTTTGTACCAAGTCTAAGTTGTTTAGTGTAGAAAGCGTTTTATCTTTATTGCTCTTGTAACCATGTACATCTAGATGTGGCTGTGCTATTTTAATACAGTTTTCTGTCAGCAACAGAATCCATTCCCAGGAAAGAGCTCAACATACCTAAGAATCAGGTCTGAGTACGACAAATATATTGCAGAGCAAGGTTACACAGTGGAGATCAGACACCTTCAAGAATCTAAAATGCTGCAGAGAAGGCACATAACTCAAGCAGCAACAATCTACCCTCTGGAATTTGGAATAATTAGCATTTGTTTAATTAGCAACCTGCACTTTCAGGACTGCACATTTTTGCACAGCAATTTCTTTATAAAAGACATGTAGGAAAATATTTTACAGTAAAAAGTGCCTTAAAGAAATCTATCCCTGAAGTGCAGCCCGTGGATGTGAAAATCAGCAGTCAGTGACCAGGGGCAGCACACATTTTTGGGCAGGGAGGGGAAAGAGGAGCCTCCTGAAAAAGAAAAAAAAAAGGCGTGTCAAGCTGTCTCTAGGGCCACATTTTCACCAAAGGAGGCTCCCAGGCACAAATTCAGAGGCTGGGTTTGCATGAAGACATCCACAGTCTGTATCTCACAGGGCAGCACAGCTGCATTGCTGGCAGTAGATAGCGGAGGTGGACAGAGTTTGGAAGTGCTAACATCATGTGGAACCCAAGGCCAAAACCAACCTATGGCACCCAAGGGGTTGCAGGGAGGCTGTCTGCAGAAAGGAATGTGTTGCAGTTTGTGGATACAGCAAGGAGCCATGAGAACCATGTCCCAGTCTGAAAGATGCAAACCTCAGAAGGGCAAGAAATCATTAAAGGCACCAGGGGGCAACTGGAGCTACTGGGATGAATTGAGCAAGGGGGAAATTTCAGGCTGGCACTGAGGAGACGATCCCCAGCAGTGAGGGGGTCTGGAGAATCTGGGGTATTGCAACCCCCTGCAGTCTTTTTGGGAACCAGTGTGTTAAATGTACAAATGACTTGGTAAGCTTGGGCGAGGGTGACCACAGCTCCTCAGGAGCTCCAAACGGTGGGGGTCGATTAAGGTGAGTCACTAAACAACTCCAGAGAGGTACCACACTGTGACAGCATATACTCCTGTATTCACACCCTACACTCTATTTTAATAATCTTTATACCAAATATACCTTGTAAGGCATCGTTTGAAAACTAATAACTTGCTGGTCAATAATATCACTGTGAAATGTGTTTTGTAACATTATATATGTAACCCTTCTGCTGTCAGAGTTGGCAGCAACAAGGACTGGGTTCAGTATCTAGGGGTTCCTTTTCAACAATACAACACAAAACTGGTTCAAGCCCCCACCCAGTGACCTGGGACAATTACACACTACCCCCGGGAGCCTCTAAGAGGCGATACTTCCCCTCGCACAAGCACAGAGTCTGAATGTTGCAAAAACTTTTAATAAAAGGAGGGAAGTAACTCGGCATTAATTTGGGAAAACACCACAACTAGGGTTCATAAACATAAACCATGAGCAAAAGGCCCACCCCCAAGTAAGTTGGGCAGTATCCTTTTCCCCTCAAGTTCTTAAGTCCAGCAACCCAAAAGTCTCTTTCATGTGCCTGTCCCTTCTCTGCACCCCACTCACGGTTGCGGTCCTTGGCCAGTGCAGCCCCAGAATTCAGAGGTTCATCCGCAGAGTTCACCTCCCACCCTGTGTGGAAGGCAGGGGTGGGGGTAAGGAGGCATCTTACATGTTGCACTGCTCAGGCACTCACTTGTTGCCCAAACAGCTGAAGATTTCTTCAAGGCCCCCCACTTAACGCAGCTCTCAGTGATTTCAGCTGTTAGTGGGGGAGTCTCACTGCTGGTGCACACTGGGCAGTTTCTTGCAATAGAGACAATGTCCCAAAGTATGTCTAATACTCAGACCTAGGTATCAGTGATTTAATCTCTACAGCATGTAACAAGACTCTTAATGGAGTCTAAATTAGCTTTTTCATTATACCATGGAGAGAGAAAGGGTCAAATGGTGTCTAGGACCCTTAAACAGAGCCCACACCCCCAGGTACAAACATCTGTCCTCTCTCTCTCTATATATATATATTCACTGGGCTTTGGAAGCCACGTCCCCTGCCTAGCGAGTGCTGTTTAGTTGAGGGTGAGTCCCTCAATTGGGAAATGCCAAGTACAGTTCTGCTACCCTTGATTCACATAACCAGGATAACAACGCTTTATTACTCCTGCCCCAATAACAAGGAGAGTGGGGATCCCACATCAGCCAAAAGTGACCATTTGGGCCAGCAATCCCATCATGCTGAGCACCTAGACAGGGTGGGTGTGACCATGCAAACGAGATCAGCTCCTGAAGTCCTTTTCCACAGCTCACCACTAGATGTCAGGGGAGAGCTCATTCAGACTCTGCTTACATCTGTAAAGTTATGATTTCCCCCAAATGGTGGTGTTGGCACCCGTTCAAACACACGTAGCCCCATTAGGCAGCACTGGTCACGCAGGTCTGAAACAAATTAATGTGTGTTTCCCTCAGTTTACATACAAGTTGTAAACAGTCCTCAGACTACAAGAGGGGGAAGACAGGAGACAAGGAAAAATCTGCATTTCAGGAAACACAGGTGAGAAGAAACAGCACAGAACTTTTCACCACCAGACATGTCGCTTTCTTTACTGTTTGAATAAACTTTGCTTTGAGGGGTGAGCTTCAGGAAACTGCATCTCAAACAGTGACTGGACTATAAAAGTGAGAAGCAAAACACCCCATGTTCCCTCTCCCTACCCAGCGCTCTCTTTTCACCTAAGATGACAAAAGAAAAAGCTGTTGGACTTTGGGAGCAGATCCTGGCTTGAGAGTTTGGTCAGCAACGTTACTGTGAACCTGTGGTAAGGGACGTCACCTTGTACCAAGTCTAAGTTGTTTAGTGTAGAAAGCGTTTTATCTTTATTGCTCTTGTAACCATTCCTGACTTTATGTCTCATTACTTGTACTCACTTAAAATCTCTCTTTGTTGTTAAATAAACTTGTTTTAGTCTTTAATTACAACTAATCCAGTGCTGTGACTTGTTTGGGCGGATCACTGCAGACTACGTGGCTCTGGGAAGAAGGATAAAGGAGTTTGAGGTTCAAGTGGTGTTCTCATCCATCCTCCCAGTGCAGGGAAAAGGCCTGGGTAGAGACCGTCGAATTGTGGAAGTCAATGAATGGCTACGCAGGTGGTGTCGGAGAAAAGGCTTTGGATTCTTCGACTATGGGATGGTGTTCCAAGAAGGAGGAGTGCTAGGCAGGGACGAGCTCCACCTAACGAAGAGAGGGAAGAACATCTTCGCAAGCAGGCTGGCTAACCTAGTGAGGAGGGCTTTAAACTAGGTTCACCGGGGGAAGGAGACCAAAGCCCTGAGATAAGTGGGGAAATGGGATACCGGGAGGAAGCACAAGCAGGCGAGTGCAAGAGGGGAGGACTCCTGTCTCAGACTGAGAAAGGGGGACAATCAGCAAGTTATCTTAAGTGCCTATACACAAATGCAAGAAGTCTGGGAAACAAGCAGGGAGAATTGGAAGTCCTGGCACAGTCAAGGAACTATGATGTGATTGGAATAACAGAGACTTGGTGGGATAACTCACATGACTGGAGTACTGTCATGGATGGATATAAACTGTCCAGGAAGGACAGGCAGGGCAGAAAAGTTGGGGGAGTTGCATTGTATGTAAGAGAAGATTATGACTGCTCAGAGCTCCGGTATGAAACTGCAGAAAAACCTGAGAGTCTCTGGATTAAGTTTAGAAGTGTGAGCAACAAAGGTGATGTCGTGGTGGGAGTCTGCTGTAGACCACCAGACCAGGGGGATGAGATGGACGAGGCTTTCTTCCAGCAACTAGCAGAAGTGACTAGATCGCAGGCCCTGGTTCTCATGGGAGACTTTAATCACCCTGATATCTGCTGGGAGAGCAATACAGCGGTGCACAGACAATCCAGGAAGTTTTTGGAAAGTGTAGGGGACAATTTCCTGGTGAAAGTGCTGGAGGAACCAACTAGGGGCAGAGCTCTTCTAGACCTGCTGCTCACAAATTGAGAAGAATTAGTAGGGGAAGCAAAAGTGGCCGGGAATCTGGGAGGCAGTGACCATGAGATGGTTGAGTTCAGGATCCTGACACAAGGAAGAAAGGAGAGCAGCAGAATACAGACCCTGGACTTCAGAAAAGCAGACTTTGACTCCCTCAGGGAACTGATGGGCAGGATCCCCTGGGAGAATAACATGAGGGGGAAAGAAGTCCAGGAGACCTGGCTGTATTTTAAAGAATCCTTATTGAGGTTGCAGGAA